AAGTTGATGAGGAGGATGAGTTTACCAATATAAAAGATCCATTGATGTAACAAAGGGTTAGCTAAGTGGTTTTCTTTGACTATTAACTAAACCTTTTGTCTTGGATCTCGATTTTACAAACAAAATATGCACAACCAACCTATATAACAAGCTATATCATAAAAGATCTTAGAAAATGTCATTTACATACTATAAAGTCATATCCGAGATATATTGTGAACAAATATAAATTTCATATACAAAAATATGGTTCATATAGAACAAGTATGAATAGTGGAATGTGTATTAAAAGATCTAATTATAGTGCAAATGAAGTGCTTATTACTAGATTTTGATTGAAATTCTATAATTAAAGTATCATGCACTACCAATCAAGATAACAATAGTGTTTAAATATGATTGGTTTAATCTTACGTCGAATGAAACAAAGGTTCAACATAGGCACACTCGTAAAAGGAGATTCAACGGATACGAACCATTTGTTCTAGCAGAATGAGTGACTCAAATATATTATGTCGCATATCCTAGCTTGAAGCACGATTGTTGAAATTAGTGGATTTTTTGTAAGATAAAAGCTAGGGCTATGGTTGATTTGCAAGAATTACCTGTTGGAGTTTAAGAAAATGCAAAACTATTTCAAGATGACGATTAAAAAATCCAACATAATTTGATCCATGAAGATGGTAAGGAGCAGCTTGTTAAATAATCTAATTGGATCGTTTGTAGATATAAAAGTAATTGAAGCTAATGAAAAAGATGAGAGTTAACATGTATCGGAATCGAACGAGGGAGAGAAAAACTTAAAAGATGATTGTGAAAATTGAAATTAAAGATTAAGTTTATTTGTTATGTTGATTAAGTTATATCATTTTGTCTATTATGCATTTTTTAGATGTTTCTTGTGCAATTTTTATGTATTGAATTTTGTGTATATGGTGTTTTCAATAATAAGAAAATATCTAATTTATAGGGAAGACTATACTGACTTTTTATAAAAATAAGTTATAATATATTTTTTTATCAAATTTTTATTCATTTAATGTGTTTGTGTAAAATGTTTTAGGTGTTTTTCTATAGTTATGCCACATGAATTTGGCGGATTTGATCATGATGTCGATGGGTGTTGCTTTGATGGCAACAATGTATATTGACGTGGCATTGCTAGTGCAAGTGTCTAGGGCTTTAGACTAAATAATGGCGCCGGCACGTCGACATCTCTACTAATAATGCCTTCGTCGGTAATGCATTTGTCGATGGTGCTCTCGACTATAGATGTCCCTACGTTGGTTTTCTCAATTATAAGAAATTGTGCTTGGATATGATTTTGAATGAACCATTCGGATCGTGAACAACTCGATGAGTAATATGCTTTACCTGTGGTAATTAATTTTATATTTTCATATATTATATTGAAATCATTAATTCATTTATTTATTATTTATGCGTTTTATTTGATAACTTGGTTCGATCAAGTAAATGCTTTATAAAAATCACTCGTAATTTTCAAGTACTGGTTGAATGTCGTTGGCTCTATGTAAAAGTCTCGTCTCCATAGAGATAAAAAAAACTTATACTTTAATGAGTTTAGGATAATATATCAATTAGTTGCTTATATTTTATTTAAAGTATTAATTTAACATGAAGTGTACTAATATTTTTTTTTGTTCATATAGAAGTATTTTTTATGGGATACGGCCATTGATGCGTTGATTAAGGATGCACGAGAGAGTTTGACATGGAGACGGTACGATGACATACTAAACAAGATGAAAAACAAGAATGATAGACTCGACGTTTGTCAAACGAAGGTGTGGAAAGCATGACACTAAGATTGGGCCACACTCGAGTTTCAAGCCCGATCTTAATGGTCTTCCTAAAATCGCATGTCAAAAATAGGTGGTGTCGGTGTTGGCCTATCAAGGCATGAGAGTCTATCTATTTGGTTGAGCATGTTGAACGTTTAGTAAATCATATTATCTATTGCATGATAAATTAATTATTATATTTATTACATCTCATATTATTTTATTTATTTATTCAAGTATAATTAATTTGGTCATAATCTAAATCCTTAGAAGTTGACCACTCACGGGTAGAAAAGATGGTCATTCATCGACAAGCAATCCCATGCATTAATGATAGGTTTTTTTTTCTTTCTAAATATACACCTATCAATATAATATATAAATATATTTATGGTTTAATATTATAATTATTTTAATATAGAAGAACGCATGAAGGTGATTCATCATCTCCGGACATTGATATTTCCAATATATATTTGGATATTGAAAGAGAGGAGAAGAAGGAGAGAGTGTATGGCCTTAAATCACAAACGTCCCAAGTATTACTCTCATTCGACGCTAGCTCCTCCTCTACCATTTCGCGGTATCCCGGTGGTAATAAGCGAAGGTTTCTACCGAGTATGAAGATTAAGAGAATAAAGATTACGATCGAACAACAAGCCAATTAAGTTCCCACTATATGTAGTCAATTGCGGGACAATGGTGGGGTTACTACGGGACCTACAGTAGATCGCATCCCTTATGCTAACTCCTCTACAATTCAAGAATTAGTCGTTCCTCTCAATACACAGTAGGTGAAAGATGATGTAAGAGATGATGATGCAAGAGAAGATAAGGATCTGGATTTTTTTTAAAAAAAGTTTTTTAATGTTTTTATATGCCTTAATGCATTTACATATTTATTTAATTACAATTTATGTTATTTTAATTTTAATAAATAATATATTGTATTTTAATAAAGTGTTATTTTTATTTGTTTGTTATTATATTAACATTAAACGATAATTAATTTATATTAAAAAAATTCGCTTAACGACGGATTAGCGACGGATCCGCAAGATACTTTAACGAGAACAATTTAGCGATGGAAATTCCATTCCTAAAAAGCAACATAAATTGTGACTTAGTAACGATTTTGCGACAAATAAGAGATCGATGAGATGATCGTTTACTACACTTTAGCGATATAATCCGCAACGGTCGATAAATTACGAAAGATTTAACAATGAATTTGCAATGAACTTTAGCGATGGAAATAGCTAAATTAGTGACGGTTTTACGACAAATACGAGATAGAAGAGACGATCGTATACTACGTTTTAGTGACAAAAAATTTTTTTTTTAAGAAAATAGCTATCGAGACTTTTGCTATAAAACGTCTGTCGTCGTAAATTCATCATTAAATATATATAGCAATAGAAATTTACTATACAGAGACAAATCCGTCCCTATTTTCCTAGATTTCATGTAGTGATAGGTGATGATCCTGATGGACAAGTTAAGGTAGCAGTTGTGTAAAATTATGGACAAATCAAGATCTCTGCACTCATCCGGTTTGATCCATTTCATAGCCAATTGAATCAATACCTTGCTTAACCATAGGCTCCACACACCTCCATATTAGTTTCTCTTTCAGATTTGCTACTTCACTAGGACTTTTTTTTTTTGGTAAGTTATGAAAGTATTCACGTGAAGAGGAAAAAATATTTCTAAAATTGTCAAGCAAAATGGAAATGATAGAATAATTTTCAAACTATTAATCATTTCCTTACTTCAATTAGCAGTATATTTAGATTTCATTCCATAACGTTGATGAATTTCTAAGGAAACAATTGTTTTTTATATGGAAAAAAATCCTAGCGCATAACTTAATCCAGTTCCATGTTGGTCCGTTATCTCTGTCCTTGGATAGATGTATTCTAAGCCTAGCATGATCTACTGGTAGCATGCATGAATTTATGTAGACTGGCCCAACCTATCAAGTCGGGTTCAATGGCCCGTCAGCTCTATGTTGCCACTTGCAAGCATGACAAATCTGAAAAAAGTTTTTTTTTAAAAAAAAACCTTCAAGAATAAAAATTTAAGTTTAATAAAACCTAATGAAATTAATATTTTTCACAACAATGCTACACAAACAAAAAAATTATACAAATTTTATTTATAAATACATACGACGGTTGTGTTTCCATGAAAGCTATACTTTATTAATTGTCATTGGATCAAAGTAGCTAAATTTTAGGGATTAATATTGCAATTTTGAAAATTTTGAAGGGTCATTCCCCCTTCAAAGGTAGACTACACCTGGCGCGTGCAGTTGACCTGCTAATATGCATGAAATTTTAATATAAAAAAAGATTATCCAATTTATTAAATATATAATAACATCTGGACCGAGGCAGATAAATTTCTCAGCCCAACAGTCGCCTAGAAAAAGTAAAAAGTAACCCTTCATTACACTAGCAAAACATAAGACTGTCCTGGAGTTGGTAGCATTTACTTCTTGGCTAGACTTCCCGCCCGGTATTTTTGCCTTCTAAATATCCTCAAATCCAAATCGGCCTTTGGATTTTAAAAACCCTACGTTTGCCTCGACGTCTTCCCCCACATTCTCCTTACCTGTCTCCAATCCTCTCTGGAACTGCTCCTGGTATGTTCTTTTTTACTTGAAACAAAATATTAGCATTACTCAATTTTTACTTGCATTGATCTATTTCTTTTGCTATTTTTTCTTTTGGCAAAAATCTTGTAACGAAATTTTGGATTTTGTTTGTGAATGTGCGCTGTACTGAATAGGAGGATTTGTTTATATAACAAATTCCAACTTTCATTAGTAAATTAATTGGCATTACTTATTGTTCTAAAGAAACTGAATGTATCTTTTTTTTTTTTTACAACTATCTACATTGAGTATAATTTGTCTTTAATTCAATGTAGGATATTTGAGAACTTGGGTTTCTTGTGTTATGCAGTCTCTCTTTTTTGGGTTAGTGAAAATATAATATCTTTTTTTCTTTTTCTTGTGACAGCTTTGAAGTCATTATCTATGATTTTGTTTCTATAAGAGATTGAATGCGTAAAATTTCTTATAACCAAACATGTGAATTATATCTAGTAGGCTCCCAGTTTTTAATTCTTGATTTGTCAAATACGATGATTATTTTTTCAAATGCAGAATTCTGATATTGGGATTAACTGATGGAGAGTCCTTGCAAAGAAAGCAATATTCCCCTTTATGAATCTAGTAAGCAAGAGCCTTCAAGTAAAGCAATTGAGGTTTCTGTGACTAAGAACATTGCGCAACGAGTTCAAAAAGTTGAGTCGAAAGGGCCTCTAGAGAGAAGATGCAGCCCTAGGCTTAGAAATATACCTAAAGAGAAAAGGCCATGCTATGTTGAAGGTCAGAGAATGGTGTTAGATGCTGCTAAACTTGATGTTTGCAAGAAAGAAGTTGAAGTAGAGTCAACAGGGCCTCGAGAGAGAAGGCCATTTCATGATGCTGATCAGAGGTGGGGGTTAGGTGCTACTAAAGGTGACGTGTGCAAGAAAGAAACTGGAGATCATAATCGGAAGAGACCGTCAGAACTGCCAGGAGATGATGCTAGCAAGAGAAGAACCTACATGGATCATTCAATGCAAGAATGGCTACCTAATATAGATAGAAAAGGCAGAGAAAATGGGCAAAGTAGAAGTCGTCTGGCCCTTGGTTCCTTGCCTTTTAAAGTTGATGATGCAGAAATTGAGTTAGAAGACAATGCTTATCTGAAATGGACGGACTATCAAAGTTTTGTAGCTGATGCTATTAAACAGAAGGCCAGTGCAGCAGTGAAAGAGGCAGTGAGGACTTTTAATTCTCATTGCCTTAACTTTGCTCAGGTGATTTAATTTATAAGGATCTTTTATGGAAATGAATAAGTGGGTGCTTATATATATATATATATATATATATATATATATATTTGTTTCTTGGATATTTGTTATGGTAATCGTAAAAATTACAGGAAATTATTCTTTATTGTTTCCTCCTCTTGGCTAAATAGGGGTACGGCACTGTTTTGTTGTGGTTTTGCAACTTTAAATGCAATGACTTGAATGTTTATGGAAGCAAATAAAAGGATTGAAATTTGAGTGTAGTTTAACTGGATGAAAATTAACTAGTCTTTGTGTTTTTATCTGTGACTTAAAGTAGAAAATCTAATGTTATCAGATTTTAAAGCTTGTTATGGTGTTATCAAAATGGACATGTTGTTTGCTTGTTTGTAATTTTTACTAAAATTTGATGAATTGAGAAGATTCTTGGTTTTATTTTACTGTTTGTTTTCTCTGTTGTAACATCATCTTATGGTAATTTTTATTGGAGAAAAGCTACTTCAAGGTGTTTCTAGCTGGTTTAGACATTATCATGTATATATTTGGTTTTCTTTCTTATTTTTCGAATTAAAATGTCGGTGTTAAAATTTGTTTTTTATGTCGTGAGTAGTGAGACAACACGCGGGTGTTTGAATTAACAAAGAAGCAGGAACCATTATGATAAAGAATACTATGATCAGAATCAATTTGGAATTGATTTTGCAACAATAACTGTTGTGAATTGATTTGACAATGTTCTCGAAACTTTTACGTAGGCAAAACTGTTCTTTTACATTTACAGAATAATCCGATTACTATGAGTTTCATCTTGTACCTAATTGAGAAATTTACTTTTCATTCTTTTAACTTGGTGTGTTAAGGGTCTAAAAGAGAATGGTATCCCGAGTTTTGTTCTACATTGATAAATTTCTGAATATACTATACTCTGGGATATGTGATCTCAATGCTAATGCTAAATTTGACTTGTAAAATTGCTTGTGTGATAAATTGTGATAATTTCATCGTTTTCTTTTTCTAGTTTTACAAAAAAAGTTTTTGTTGTTTCTAGATACCTAATAAAATTTTGATAAGTGGTTAGAACCTTATTTGGAAATGTATTTTTTCAAGAAAAACCCATAGTTTTCTTTTTTGTGGAATTGATAGCTTTCCCTTGATTTCTCTTTGTCTGTAATTTAAACTGGGATCATGCTTAACAGCCACTCGATGCTCATGCAGGTAGAGGAGAAGAGATATGAGAAGGTAGAGGTCAGAGATCCTCAAGTTGCTAATTGTACAAATACTGTGAGTATGCAACCTCATTTTCATTCTCCCCCCGGTTTCTCTTTGATGGGCTTTTAGCTTTTTCTTTAAGGCTATGTTCAAATCTTGGAACTTGGGACTCTGGTTATACACTTCTACAGTTTCTTGCATTTCCCTTTTCGTTGTTTTTAATTTAGTGTTTAGACTAATGAGAATGAGGTGTTAAGATACCTTGTTCCTTGGCCCCACTAAAATTTTCTCCATAAAAAGATAGTGGGGGAACATAAAATGGAAGTGCAATTGTGGGTCATTAATGCACTTGTACTCAAGCCTTTAACTATTACAGATGCAATAATGATAAGCTAAACTTCCTCTGCCATATGCTTTTTTGTTCACCATTTTGTATGACTAAAGCTGCACAAGTATTTGCTATAATTTGAGGGGAAAGTTACTTATAACAGTCCATTTTTGCCTCTCTTAATCCATTGTATCTCACAAAATTTATGCCTTTTCTTCTGAAAATTTTTTTGGTGAATAGAACCACTAATGCAAGAACAAAATGACTATGATGTGCCCACTCCCTTTCAGGCTACTTTCACCATTTCATTCTCTGTCTCTGTCTCTCCCTCTTTGGAGGCAGATCTTGGTCTTTGTGATTGTTACGCTAATCCTATGAAAACTTTGCAGAAGGGAAATTCATCCGCTGATGCTAAGCGTTCTTCAAATCAATCCATTCTGAAGGAAATTTCTGAGGCAAGTTGATAGCAATCCCTCTGCCTTCAATCATGCTGTATAATGCTGTACATTGAGAGCAGTGGTTTAGGCATGCTTTGCAAGTTTTGCTTTTCTTTAGTTTTGATGTAAAGGTGGTGAATACACACAACCAGAAGACATGCAAATACTTGATCATAACAAATGATTATTATTGTTTATCATGCTCATATGCTATGTTGTCTTGCAAATGTAATGCTCAGCTGCATGAACTCACCATTTGTCAAAATCATTTTGAAAATCTGTTCTGTCTATTTCTCTCATTTATCATGTTGAAGTTCTGAATGATTCTGTTTGTTTATTATATGTGGAACAATGATGATTTCTTTCTATCTTGGTCATTCATGGCAGATGTTAAAGAAAAAGGAACAATCATACACTGGAAAGCAATTTGCTCATCTACCTGGTAGGTGAATCATAGTTGTGTTATGCAGTTTTTCCTTTTCTTTTTTTCTGCATAATTTATATTCATACGGATGAAAACGTCTTAGCTAAGTGCATCTTTCAGGTATTCTTGTTGGGCATAAATTCTTCTCTCGAGATGATATGGTGGCTACAGGTTTTCGTGGACATTGGTTGAATGGAATTGATTACATACGCAAACTTTGTGGCAAATTGGTTTGTATCTACTTTTCTTTTTATCTGCTAGATTATAAGAAATATATTTTTCCCTTTCCATTATGATACTCTCTTATTTTATCTTTTTCCCCAGGCAAGGAAATCTCACATAGCGAAATGTGGTGTTTTGGTTCTTCGAATTTAACATGTGATATGAAACTTCTATCCTTATTTCTTGGAACCTCATTCCTAAGATGGAATCATTTGTTTTCCGTTTAAGATGATGGGGCTTTAATTGCATTTTTCTGCCATTTTTAGTCAAGTTGTGGTGCTTTAATAGCTCACTTGTCAAATTAGATTTATTATCTCTCACATGTTTTGAAGAAAATATTGAAAGTTTTATATATGCATATCTATGATTAGAACATCCCTTTACACGTAAGAGTTCCTAGACATGTAAGAGTTGAGACTTGAGATGTGCCCATGCATCCATGGGGAGCCCTCGATTTGGGCATAAAATTAATGTACAATTTGCTCCTAAAATTCATGGCATATAGTTGAATTGCTGAGTGAAGCAATGTAGAACACTTCAAAACACGTATAACTTTGTGAAAGATGTGAAAAAAATGGTTATGTTTCAATTTCTGCACACTTGAGATGATACTTGTGTTCGTTGAAGGTATTTATCTGTTGGAAATTTTTTATGATTCTGTTTGCTCTTCCACTTTTTATTTATCGACCAGTAAGAGTTAGTTAATCAACCAAAGTAAAGAATTAATGTGATAAGCTATCTCGCCTATTTAATGTGCTGCTGGTTGGTATTGCTCGAGGACATGGTGACTGTGTTAGCCTTAGAATAAACATAAGCTAAACTGAAGGTGATAAAAGTACTCTTTAAGGAATAGGAAATAGCACCCACAAAGTGAAATTTGCAACATCTGAAACATCAGGTCAAATGCATAGAGCATCACCATCAATGAAATAGGGTTTCTTGCAACGGGGTTGAAAAAATTTCTTTAAGCTTACTGTTAGTGTGACCAACAAACAAATATGGGTTTTGTTGCCTCTAAGGCCAAATTTCTGCACAAAATGTCAGTCGAAGTCAAGTACAAGTGGACTACTAGTATACTTGGAAAACAAAGCAGCATCAAAAAAGAAAGGGACACTTCTACCAGCTATTTAAATCTTTGGTCGAAGTGTTACTTTTTTTTCTGGTTTATGCTTGCTGGTTTCCAAATGTTTTTACTTCATTAGGGTTTATGAAAATTATACTGAGTGCAAGCTTTTCCAACTCTTTATTGCTTAATTATCTCTTGTAACATTTGCAGAATAAGGACAATAAGTATAGCAGCCCAGTAGCAGTAGCAATCATGTTGTCTGGGCAATATCAAGACAGTGTTGATTGTTCGAATGAAGTTGTGTTTACAGGCCAAGGCAGAAATGACTTGAATGGTAGTAAGCGTCAAATTAAAGATCAAGTTATGCATTGCAGTAATTTGGATCTTAAGGTATTTAAGCATTATGGTAGTATCCATTTTGAATGATGTTGATCTCTTTTCTTGTTTTATTATGTGATTAGCTTATGGTTTTTAATGAGTACAAAGTAGAACTTTAAGGCTCTTCATATGAAGAGAGAGACAGAGCGGTTAGGGTATTGACTGTAGTCCCTTTCTGATCCCTTCTTAGCAACTATTTGTCTCCTTCATACATGCCCTTCATGGTGGGGATATCATGAACTACGTTAAAGATCTAACTATGTCCATACTTGCAAAGTGACCGAGCCCTAGCTGAAGCTACAGAAATAACTAAACTTTTTTCTGCAAGCATTCTCTTTCTATAGATGAAATTGAATTCCCTACTCGGTTCTATGGCATATGGTTTATTATTTTTGTATTGATCACATATAACTGTTCAAATTTGTTCATTTACTTTAAACAATAAGCAAACCATGGAGATCCCTGTGTGTGAGGCATTCCCCCCTCTAAACAGATGCTCATAATTCATATTGATACAGCCACTTCTCTGAGCAGCTTTCTTGAACTTGTTCATCTAGCCGATTTATTCTCATAATCAATTAAATTTTGTACTGATGGTAAACAACCTCCCAAGTTATGGTTTGGTGGTTATAATTGCAATAGACTCTTTAATGTCGATATTTCATGACTGGGGAATCCATCATGATCTAACTTTACATATTGTCAACTGTCCTTGCTGTTACTTGGTACAGATATGTTGTCAAACTTTGAATCCTCTTCTACTGATATTCATTTTGATCTTCTTGTAGAATAACATGGAGCTTTCTGTACCTGTCAGAGTCATCCTTGAACATGAATATGCTGATAGTCATAGTGGCAAAGTTTACACATATTGTGGATTGTACAAGGTTGACACTTTTAATTTTTACTTGCTTTATAGATTTTTACATGGTTGGCATGTTAACTTACTGTTGAAAGTCCACTTGTGCCTACATCCTAATCATGTATTGTGGGCCCTCTGAAAGACGTATTAATCTTATAAATGGCTGAATTTGTAACTTGAAATTGCCAAAGGTTCTACGAATGTTCCTTTTGTTCCTTTCATTAAGCTAATATATTATCATGTGCATTTCTTTTCCTTGTGCCTCTCTTCTCATTTGTAATTGGTTTCCAGTTTGGAAAACCCTTTTTTTTTTGTTGTTTTTTATACATAGAAGATTCATTAAGAATTTCTTCCTTTTTCCCCCTTAAAACTTTGCCTCTTTTTGATGCAGCTGGGTTTTTTTTTTTTTTTTTTTGTATCGCTTTACTCATTTGATGGTGTAAAAAAAAAAAAAATTGGTGCCTTTTATTTTTAATTTTTTTTCTCATTAGCTCTTATTTCTTATTAATCAATTTTTAATTGAATCCTGCTGACCAATTTCTTGAGCTGTTTTTAGATGTTCAAACCAGATTTGATGGTTGGTGGAAGCCTGAAATATTAAAGATTTTCTTTGCAACAAGTGCTTTTTTTTTTTTTTTTTTTTTTTTTGTAGAAAGGGGTCTTTGATCCACAATTTTGCTGAATATTAGCATTGAGTTTACATATAATGTAAATGTAAGAATTACGGAAAAACTGACATTCACAAGTTATAGGGAAATGAGAGATTTGGGAAATATTTGGAATTGTTTAACCGCAAGGAAATTTTAAGGAAAGAAAATAATGGTTCACTCCTTAAAGCGTATTCTGGCTCTGAGAAGAAGAACAAGACTAATAGAGGAAAAAAAATGAGTGCAGTGCAATTCATTCTTTTTAAGTGGATAGAATATTGATATTTGATAAGCATAGAGTGAAGTCATTTGCATTTGTAATGATTTAAGCGATGTATTCATTATTATTTTAACTTTTGCTACGTGGCTGAATCAATAATGTTGGATGATTGTTGGCCAATGATACCTGAAGCCATTCTAATGCATGGTTTGTACTGCATATGTAAGATTTTGAACATGCTTAAACTTTGGTATGATGTCTGAAATCCATTCAGCTAATTTTCACTCTGTCTGCAGGTTGTACGTCACTGGTCTGTTAAAAAGGCCTCTGGATTCTCTGTTTCTAAGTACCGTTTGAAACGGCTTCAAGGGCAGCCCAAAATTGAGATAGATAAGGTGACCTTTTCATACTGTGTTTTATAGTTCAAAAAAAGGGTTTGCCTATTTGTTCATGGGTTGTAATACTTTTAACTTCTAATATCATTTACTGATGTGCAATGAGAATTCTAGTGGCTGATATGCTTTCATGAACATTTCTCCTTGTTTTTTCCCCTTTTCTTTCTTTTTGTTCAATTTAAGTTCCTTTTTTTTTTCAGAATAAGGCTATCATATGGTGGATTTTCCCTTTTTATTATTTGCTCGTTTAATCAATATGTAGTTGGCTGTGGTGATCCATGTCCCACACTTTCCTGCAAAGAAATTAGTAGTTCACTAAGCTTTGTGCTTTGTAGACTTTGCTATGTTGACGTTTCATTTTTCAGTGTTCAGCTCGATTGTCATTTGTATTGGCTGAACCTATTTGTTCCTTCTATTTTAGGTTTATTTTGAACGAGGAAGAGCCAGAGTTTGTCACAAATTACACGGGTATGAAATCTGTAGAGCTGTGATGTAAATGAATATTTACTGTTTTTCATGTAAATGCTATGCATTGTGTAAACTGACAGAAGTGTTTTATTTTCCAAGCTTGGTGTGTGAGGACATCTCTTTTGGTGAAGAAGACATACGTATTCCTGTTACCAATGTAATTGATAATCCTCCTATAGCACCAGCAGGCAAGTTACTGACCAACTTATACTTTTTTGAGGGAAGTAGATCTGGTAGACAAATACTAATTTTTTCTTTTCATTTATTTGTCAAAATAGCTTTTCTTATATATTTCATGTTTCAAGAATTTGCTGTTTCACAAGGAAAAACTTTTTTCAAGGGAAAATCATTTAATTTTTGCATGCATGCTCATTTTAGCAATATTTACTTTTTCAGACTATTTTGGTTTTTCTCAATACTAGGATTTCTAGTGCATATGTTGCACTTGGAAGACAATTTTTGGCATCACATTTCTTTGGTTTTTTGCCTTGAAAAATGTTATTCGTACGAGATTGTATTTGAAAAAATCAGACTCGATTCCTAGATTTAGTTTTCCATCAGTTGGAAGAGGGAGATGAAAACCTATAGAGCTTTTATTTATAAAATTTAGAATTACATATTTTTTGTATAAATTAATTATTTTAAGTTGCCTATAGGTTGTGGCAATTAAATCTAAAATAGTAACGAAGCTTGAAATAGCGCAGTTTAATAATGGAACACAACAAGTTCTTTTTTCTCTCACCTAATAAATCACTTTGCAAGATTGAGCCTTTCGGTTTTCTTTCTGATTGTAACTCAATCTTTAATCCAACAATATACAAATCCAAGGTTCAGAAACATGGTGCGTCACTAGTTTTAGTTTTAATGTTTTATGTTATTTCACCCTTTCTGAAGTACCAGGTAAGTAATAGTATTATTTATTATTCTTATTCAATTAGGTCTTAAAGTATTGATAAGATGGTAGCTGTTGCAGTTATGGCATTGGCTTTCATTAAGTTTTTGACATCTACCTTTTCAAACATGCACTCTTTTAGCATACCATGAAAAATGGGATTTGTTGCCATGGAACATGATTTTCTATTTGAAGGAATTGACATTTGTTAGGGAAGTCGTTGAATCCCATTAGCAAGCATTGTCATTAACAGTGCCAGCACACTGAAATGCAAAGGGTGCTTAGACTTAAGGGGCCATCGTGCATCTGAGAGAAGTGGGATATCCAACTTTAATATAAAATGTAAAGTGACTTATATTAAAAGATTTATAATATATTATATGAGATTGTGTCATGGCACAAAGATTTTAGATCCAAATTCTACATAGGCTATTTTATTTTTTAGTTTGGGATTTCTATCTAATAGTGTCCAAAAGAATCATCGAGCATATAAAACTAAAGCATAAACTTTCACTCTATTCTCATGTACTTTGAGAATATGCTGGTTATTGGTAATATTTATAAGAGATGGTTTTAAACAAGGCTTCCATCATAATGAACTAGAAGTATACAAAATTGTGAAATTTTATTTGTACGGGTCATAATCATCATTCTCAGCAAGCAAAAGACCATCATCATACAAGGAAGATGGTGGTCCTTTCTGGTCTTCCTTGGCTGTCCCTGAATATGGCAGAAATATCTTGTTAACAGCTAAACTAATGACACCTTTGTGGTCTGGACATATCGGAAAACAAATAACAATGATACATAATAATGAAAAATGAAATAAAAAGAATATGCTGGCATCTTCGCCTAGGTATTTGCTTTTGAATCTTTGAGCAGGCCTTAAACACATGGCTTGTGGGCTTAATGCATAAGTAGATGGTGCCTCACATAGGGCTTCAAAGTCATTTTGACCCTCAAGTGTTGCTTCTGGTTCTTTACGGTATTTTCTCAACACTGCTAGAAGGTATTAGCTGCAGTTTGACACAACATGATAGATTGTTTTTAATGAAAGAAGATTTTCTAGTTATCCAGTTTAACCATTCAAGAAAAGTGACTTTACACCATTCCAGATAAGTAGTTACTGCCTTTGTTGTTATTTGCACATGTTGTTTGGTGAACTGGAGCAACCAGTTATGGTGAATGAGTGTGATGCTGTGAGGGATCAGTTGCTATTTTCTTTTCAGGTACATTTGATGTAAGTTTGTGTTACCTATAATGCTATGCATTGATGTACCATTGGCACGAATGCAGACTCAAATAACTTGCTCGTTTCAGGTTTAGTAATTTATGAATTTCCGCTATCAGAATTCAAATTTCTTGTATTTTTCTTAAATAGAGAAACCTTTTTGTTCACCCAAAAAGAAATCCTATAATTTATTTTTTTTCTGATGTTTGTGGCCCTTCTTTTCTACTTAATTCCATGTTTTGTCTTATTTTCACTGGTCTCCTCTTGTTTGTTGGCATGTTAATAAATTAGACAAATTTATCTATTTTGTCATTGCCAATGATTAAATTTCGAACTTCTAGGCTTTAAATATATCAAGTCTGTTCAAGTGGCAAGAAATGTGATCCTTCCCCCTAGTGCCTCTGGTTGTGATTGCAAAGGAAAATGTACAAATCCAAGGTCTTGTTCCTGTGCTCGACTTAATGGCTTTGACTTTCCATACGTGCGCATAGATGGTGGCAGGTGAGATTTGAATGTGGCTCTTATAATATTCATCTTTTTGGTTGCTTTATTAGAATGGTATATTTTGATTCTGGAATATATCAAGTTTGCTTATTAAAGAAAGGGGTATCTATATGTTTTTTTTCCATGCCCATTATCTTTATTTGTGCTGATACTCAACTCACCCAAGTCTCAGCCACAAAACTAGTTGGATCCAGCCGCATGAATTAGTTTCTCCATTCTGATTCTTTTGTACCAAACTTTCTTTAAGTTGCTGCACAATACGTTTTACCACTTTAAGCCTTTCCATCATTAGTGCCCCTTATACCTTGTTACCTCTTATTAGGCTGGTCACTTTTTCCATACCAATGCATTATTTCCGATTGGTGGCTGTGACAGAATACTGTACTTGGCATTTGGTTAAAGAACGTCAATGTTTAAACACCTGATTGATTGGATAAAAAAAACTTCTAAATACTTTTCATCTTTGTTTGATGGGACTTGTGGTCATTTTGCGCAGAGTTATGCCTATTACTTGTCATTTCTTCTGTTCATAGCTAGTTAAGCAGATATATTTAGGTTAGCATGTTAACTGAGTTGGAAAACTTTATGTTGAATCAATATTTCAACCTTTTTCATGCCTCAATTTTCTGATTCTAGTCCTTTTGTTTTATAAAGATTGATGCTGCTTATTCCTCATCTTACCCAATTTTGTTCTTGAATGTTTTTCTTTTTTCAGATTGATTGAACCAAAGGATGTGGTGTTTGAATGCGGTCCTGGATGTAGCTGTGGACCTAGTTGTATTAACCGTGTCTCCCAGCATGGATTGAAGTATCGACTTGAAGTATTTACACACAATCAAGAACCAAATTCTTTTCAGCATAAAAATCACCATATTTATTGGGATTTTTTTTAACAGGTCTATCGTACAGCGAGCAAAGGATGGGCTGTTAGGTCCTGGGACTTAATTCCTTCTGGTGCTCCAGTCTGTGAATACTTTGGAATTCTTAGGAGGAATGATGAGTTGGATAACGTCTCTGAGAATGAATTTATATTTGATATTGACTGCTGGCATACAATGAATGGAATAGGGGGAAGAGAGGTACTAGTACCATCATTCAAGAAATGATCATTATCATATTGAGTGTCTTAACCTGTATGACATGGGAATCATGAAAGTTATGATACTTGCCGATTGCAATAACTTTATATGCTTAGCCATGGACAGTGTTGTGCAAGTACTTGTCTTAGTGGTCTTTCTGCTTGCTAACACTGAGAGTTAACAAGTAAATATCAACTTGTTCTCATTCTTATTCAAGACCAAACTGTACTTGGAATATGCTTTCTACTTTTTGTTTGGTCTGGTTCTCACTGTATTGCATGTTGCTAGAGCCTTTCTTTGAGTTTCCGTTACTTAGCATTCCTGAGAAATGGTATATAAATGTATTTTCTTGCAGAGGCGACAAGGTGATGGGTCTGTATCTGCTTGTGATCCTGTGAAGAAAGCGGATGTCAAGATGGACGAAAGCGAGTCTGAATTTTGCTTAGATGCAGGTTCATGTGGTAATGTTACCAGATTTATTAATCATAGTTGTATGCCCAACCTATTTGTCCAGTGCGTTTTGAGCACCCACCATGATATTCGACTTGCTCGAATTGTGCTATTTGCGGCAGATGATATACTTCCTATGCAAGTAAGTTTCTCTTACGTTCCTCTTCTGTTTCGCTTTGGATTTGAAGTCTTTTGAGCTTTTTTATTCTAATACTTTCATAAGCTTCTTTTTCTTTTCTTTTTTTCTCCTCATGTGAACCTGGTGTTCTAATAAATAGTTATCTTTTGTGCTTGATGTTATAACCTGGGCTTCCTTTTAATGTGTCATTCTATCTCCTAGCTGTCAACTGCAAATTTAGAATAAAAATGGTTTTGCTATGTTGCAAACAGGAACTTACATATGACTATGGTTACGTGCTTGATAGCGTTGTCGGTCCTGATGGGAAAGTAAAACAGTCACCATGCTACTGTGGCACAGATGAGTGCCGGGGGCGCTTGTATTAGGTAAAACAAAGTTTTATAAACTTAGATTGCAGCATACATACACTCATGTATTGAAAAAACCCAAACAGGACCATTGGTACATGTTCATTTGTACAGTATACTTATTATATACAATGATTTCTTTGGGATTGATGTGCTTGGTTGGCTGAGAGATCTCAAATTAATAATATTATCTGGTGGAACTCTCATTTCTTGTTACCTTTTGGTAATTATCAAGGAATGATTACATATTGGAGGGGACGATTTTGTTAATCATACTGCTTTTTGCCTCCCGCTTCTTTCCCACAGGGTATATGATAAATAGTATTTGTAGTTAAAACCCAATCTCAGAAACACTCGGGATATATTTGGGAAAATAGTAATGAAAGGAAAGAACAATTATCCCGTTTTCTTCCTGTTTGATAAAACTATATATTTTTTGTGCTTTCACTACACTCATAATTAGTTCTCTGAAGTGCGTGAAATCTAGGTTATTGAATCCTATGTTTGAAACGCTAGCCCGTCGCTAGGTCCTACTTTCCGCCCTTGTAGTGCCAATTGCCAAGCCTGGTATGAACTAAGTTTTTAGTGGGTTAAAGCAAATCAATCACTTGAACTAGTTTTGCAAGGTCAATTAGTTTTTGTCTGCCACTCGGGACCTATGATTCAGACTCGTAAATCAAGTGCGTGATTAAAGAAAAGGGTAGCACGATTGTGCACAAGAAAAAGGAAATCCCAAGGAATTGGTAGCATATCCTTTGATAAAGATGGCTTATTTCTTTTCTTGCTTGTTCAAATGATTAGATAATGTTAATCAAACCATAACATGATTTCATTAGCAAGATTCTCATATTCGGAGGGCGAGTTGTAGCCAGCAACACTGTTCAGGCACAGGGCCCTCACTTTTTGTCTTTGCCATTGATGATCCCCAAGGGGTGCCCTTGAGGCTTTTCTTCAATGCCAAGACTTGTCCATGGATGTTGCTATCATTTATTAACCTCCAAAGTCCAAACCTCTTCGCAGCTGCATGATGTTGTTTAGGCAGCTTGACTGGATGTGCTTGATTGTAGAGAGGTGGATTATTTTGGTACTTTTGTGGCATTGTGCCGTGAGAACTTCCAGTTGATGGAAACATATCTACCAAAACTGGAGCTGTCATGCTGATGTTTTCTGCCTGATCATTGTTTCCTTGAATATATGGGTAAAGAGGCTGACAAATGCACCTAGAAAGCATGAATTCATTAACAAAACTTTAAAGGGCAAATGAGCATGGGTGAGGTTGTAATTTTCAGTGTAGGAGAATTGGTCAGTTGCTTGGTATTCCATACACTTGATCGAGGAGAGAATCTTCAAATGCCTATAGAATTGCACTAGTGTGTAGCAAATGATTAGCTTATTATTAAAATATTTAAAGCTCAAGGTTTTGTCTGTTATACTAAATTAAAGTCATACATAGACCTATGGCAGTACAGCACCTATAAAATAAATTACAGGTGAGGGGCCAAGGTTTAAATTAAACCCCTTTTTACTGTATTGTATTAAACAAGCAAAAGTGAGTGAGATCCCCTAGTTTATTAAATAAGCCAAAAAGTGAATTGTGATCTCTTCCACTAAAGGATACACCTGCCCAAAATGAAAGGAAAGTTGAGAAAGAGAGAGATGCTTACATGTTGAAACCATGACCAACTGCATACTTGTAGGAGTTGGGAGTTGATTGGTGAAGTCGAAACCCAAGGAGCTACTCTATGACTTCTTATCTCATAATCTTTTTGACTGTGAATCACCTTGAAGCGCCCTCAAGGCGCAGGCAAAACCACAGTCGATAAGACCAAACCAATCCCTTCACCGGCCGAACCCATTTGGCCTGTTCCTCGAACCGTGAGTTTCTATTTGGAATTGGAATTTGTTCTTTCCGATTATTATTGGGTTCTACACATATCAAAACCTCATATAATTCAGATTTTTTTTTAATTAAAATTCTAATTTTTTTTTCCTATTCAATTTGACTGTTATACTCTTTTTTTTTTCCTCTCGGACCCTAATGTATCACGTAGCCACACATGACAAGATCTATAAAATGATAAATTGACACATGGCAAAGTAGACCCAAATTGATTTTTAACGAAAATTAAAAAAATTCTAAAGGATTTTTAATTATTTAAGTAATAATAAACCTAAAAATAGGTTATGAAAATACCAATCTACCATTACCTATTAAACTAAAAAATCCTCTAAATTCCTCCCTCTCTCTCCATGCATTTCGAGTTTTTCACGCTCGCTTCTTTTCTCTTTCCAACCTCCGATTGCAATCAACCCTAATTTCTTCTTCTCCTTTTCTAATTTCACAAAACCTAAACCCTAATCCTCATGCCCCCTTATTTTGCTTTCCAAATTTCACAAAATCCAAACCCTAATCCTTATTCTCCATCATTTTCAAATCCAAAATTTCCCAATTATAAATCGTAATTCTCATTCCCTCTTAACCTTTTCTCTTTCTTTCTCTTTTTGTTGCATTTTTTAGTCCCTAATTCTCAAATTGTGATTCCGGAATAGAATGACTTTGTCATCGACATCCTCTTTCTCTTTCAAGCATTCATCGATTTGTGCTCTCGGTGATGAAGAATTACATCAAAATAAGAAAGAACTCCGCAATTTCATGTTACTTGTGTAATTAAAACAAATAAGGCAATATCTTGGAGTGATGACCTCCTAGGTTTATAGTATTATGTTTATGCACTTCGATTCAAAGCTAAAGGCGAGAAAAGATATTGGATGCGATTTTAAAGTGTGGTTCCAAGATAAGTTAGATGGAAAAGCTAAAGATATTGTTTTGGGTTTACGAAATTGTTAACAAAAAATACATGCCGAGAACTCAATACCGATTTAGGAGAATGTTAGATTGAATGAAGAAATTATGATGTTAAAAAGCGAGAATGAAGAATTATTGATTGAATTAGAGACTATAAGAATTAAGAACAATGCTTACAATGAGCAAAAACGAAGGAGAAAGATGTTCTACTACCGGAGATTGAAGATTTAAAGTTGAGTTATATTGATTTAATGTTGTTTAAATCTAAAATTAGTAGAGTTTTCAAGCTATTTTGTACAATGATTGTCATCGTGATTGTAAAATTTTGGGTTTGATTATATGAAATGGAAAACAATTCCTTGTCTTGTGAATGTATTTTGAAAAGTAGTACTATAGGTTTTAGATAGAGGCAAGTGCTGAAACTCTCTCCGTATTTTAAGAGTGTTTGATCGATGATGGTGTTTTTATAGCTGAAGCTCTTTCTTCATGTCACCGCATTTTGCCTTTATGCATCTCAACTATCTTGATGATCGATTACAAGTAATTCATTGTATGAAAAGACCTCAAGTAGATCTTCCTTTCTTCATGTCACTACCTTTTTCCTTTTACCTTTATGCATTTTAACTATATTGATTTTAAAGTTAGAACTCTCCGTATCTTGAAGCTCTTTCTCCACATCTTTTCTTGTTTTTGCACGAGCAAGGAAAATAACATATCATTTCTCATTTTCTTTGGTCTATTTTTGAGTCACTCGTATGATAATGTGGAATGTCATTAGAAGTAACATTAGATAAATAAGCAATTGACCAAAGACAAGCAAACCACACCCAATTGAAATGTAGTGATCATGAAAGGGTTTTTACTCAAATGAAATCTATTTTTCTCCATTTTTCTTCTAACATACATAGTTTTTTGGGGAGGGGGTCTATATCTTCTCTAGTCATTCATGGAGCCTAGGATGCTTCATTATCGGCTTCATCTAAATATTTAGCAATCCAAATACTCGCTCTATTTATGTTTCTTTCATCTTGCTTGGTATGTTTCATTTTTAATTAAAAAGTCGCCTAATCTGCTTATGAATAGGATGGTAAGGCAATCAATTTTTAATTTTTGCTTAGAGGAAATTTTAGGTTAACCATTCAAGCATATACTTAAATGTTACAAAATTATTTGATAGGCATAAAATTTTTACAAATGTCTTCAATCAAAATCTATCTTGGAGCATGATTTAGAATTTCATGTCACCGGAATAATTTCGAATCTTACATATGTGTTCTAGAACATCATAAGCTGAAAAATTACATGTTCTTAACTGTCAAGTATTCATTATCAACTCATGACATATTACATATTCTTTAGCAACATCCAAAAATTTAATAACACTAAGCTAATATTACATGTTTTTTTCCTAATACTCGGTCTTGTGACCCTTCGCCTTAGGAGTTTGATCTAGTCACCATCTTCCTTTTCTCAAAACTTCCAACAACCTTCTCCTTGTTATTCTACCCTGTTCTATCAACACCATTCTTTTTCTTCTTTTGACTTTGTAATCCTCCTCCTCCTTCGAATACCCTTGTTATTCTAAAACCAAACAAATAATTCTAAATAAAAAAATAATTGGTTCCACTATAATAGAATCAATTCCACAACCAATTCAATTTCCAATTAAAAAAATAAAATTGTCATTTATACCGACCTATGGTGATATATTCTACCATAATAGAACCAATTGCATAAAAAAACAACTCTAACATTTTGCTTTCTTTTACTCTAATACCAAATAAACAAATAAATATAAAAAATGCTTAGAATTAAATTGAAGCAAAAAACTCTAAAAGCTTAGAAAAAAATTATTTATACTCGACCAATGGTGACGGGTTTCGTCGTAGCGAAACAATTTCGAAATAAGTCCATCAACCTTCTCCTTCTCCTTGCCACTTGTTACTCACGAGACATATCCTCATTCATTTTCCTTTTATCGGATGAAGTAGCTCCAACCTTCTACTTTTCTTTCCTCTAATACCACATAAACAAATAAATATAAATAATGCACCATAATTAAATTGAAGAAAAAAGACGGTAAAAATAATCATTTTTACCCGACTACTTGTGACAGGTTCTACCATAACGGAACCAAAGTTTGAAACAGGATAAATTAGACATTCTTCAACCTTAACATTAGCTGGTCTAGAAGATGCAATACCACCATCATCAACCTTCACATGAAAGTGAGAAATGTAAATCAAAAACATAAACAAAAATACATAAATACACAAACACAAATAGGTTCTATAACTAAAAATACTAACCATCTTATTCTTGAGATTCTCAAGACATGTAGACCTATTGTGTCCTTTTTTAAAACAGATTTTACAAGTCATCCTCCTTCCTCTTCTTGACATTTTAGTTTCACTTGGATGATTCCCATGATTCTAAACGTCACTCCTTCTTTTTCTTTTTAGGTTATTTCACTATCTTTAGAGGTAGTACTTATGCTTTTGATGTCTTAAGTCAATATTTTTCATCATTTGTTGGCTCAATTGACATTTAGTATATAGATAAGAACAAGTTCATAGAATACCGATGGATAAGATAATTGTCAAAATTTCACTTTATAGCTACACAAATGGCTATAGCTTTATGGACATGGTATCCTACTCATCTCAAACAACCTATAAATGCACGTTTTTCTCTCCATATGCACTCTATATTTATCACTGAAATTGTATATGTTTATGGCCTTATACCCATGATCACTATTATGCAATACTTTAAACTTGAAACTTAGATCTCTAAATTCTTCCATCTTTTTTCAAATCTTAGGCCCAAAATTTCCCTTATGCCTAAATACAAATAATCTTTTAGCTATAGTTCTTTTCACAATAAGAGTCCTAATCTCCTCTAACAAAGACATAATAATTTTGTGTCTTGCTTGTAAAATAAATCCATTTCATGTTTCACATAGGTTATTGTCAACTACATCGGATTTAACATTTATTTAAAAGTACGCATTACACCATTTTTGTGGACATTTTTTCATGAAATCTTTAAGTGTTGTCTTGCTATATTTCCCAAACTACTAAAGATTTTCTTCAAAATCTGGTATGGTACTTGATTTTTTACAAATCCAAAATTAATTCTCAACATCTTCACCATCATGTGCCTTCCTCCATTTAGTAAAATTATTTCTAGCACATATCCTATGTTACTGCTCTAGGTACTAATTCCTCTAAAGCAACACATAATCTTTGTACATACAAACAAATAATTAGATTAAGAAGACTAATTAAAATTAAAGAAATACCAATGAACCATGCATATTTACTAACTTTTTACCTATTTGTTGTGAAAGTTTATCCATATGGGATCCTAACATCTTCCATCAAAAGTTGGATGAACCGGACATGGTTATCTTTATTTTCTCACTTCATAACAACCTAACACAAAGGATACATTTGATTGTCCGCATCCCTACCAACAGTGATAACACTTCCCATTTTAATTTATCTTTTAAGAATGCATCGTTTAACCCTATAATTGGCTTGTACCCTACCTTAAAGTCTTCTTTTATAGCATGAAAACACACATACATTCTTTTAAACCTATTTAAACACTCCTTATCCTCTTATGTTTCAAGAATGACAGTATTATTATCATTACATCTTCTTAACTCAACTCGTATAATTTTCAAGCCTCCTAAGCTCATCATTCATATCTTTAGAATAAATTAACTACATCGGATATTTTTCTAAATAGCATGTTTGGCTTGTGATGGTGTAATCTACACTTTCATATCGGACATACAATCTTCTATAATCTCATAAAACTTCGTAGTTAATGCAGTTCTTCCAAGCTTCTTCATAAAATACTTAGCAATATGTCTATAAGTAACCTTAGAATTTATAAATGACCAATCACATATGTGCTACACATCATATATCTTCACCATCCATTTTTTGGTCCTCCTTTCAATAGAAACTAGCAGTTTCAAAGACAAAGGGTTATTTTTACAAATAACTCTATACTTATATTTGTCCTTCGTAATCGACT